TTTTGTCCTAGATTAATCCAGTGACCACCACTTACAACTTAGTCCCACAGAGTAGTCAAATTCATAATTAAAGGTTGATTTCTCCCTAAAAAAAAAAGCTTCTCAAACACACACACACACACACACACACACACACACACACACACACACACACGCGCGCGCACAAAAACAACACAAAATAAGCAAAAGCAAAAGCAAAAGATCCTTTGCTTATTAAGACCTCAATTAATTTCCCACCTTTCCTCTAAAAATTTCTTGACTAGTCTGATTCACAAAGATTTCTCTATATTTAAACTAACTTTTGTCTGTATCACTATTTTGGCATTAAATCATAAATTGCTTTTGTAACATTGCAGTGTTAACTTTTCATGTATGCCAACTCAGCTCCTCCTCTACTGCCCCTCCCTTATTTTCTATAATCTCCTTGAAACTGTATTTTAACATGTATTTATTTGTATTTGTTATATCACTCAATACAGTGTTAGGCACATAGTAAGTATCTAATAACATTTTTTTAAATATTTATAGCATTATAAAAATCTATCTCAAAAAATAGATGAAATTCTTTCAGTATCTTCATGTCAAGGCAAATCATTTGAGTGAGGACTAGTTATTTGAGCTCATCTACAAGCTTAATATGCTTCAACAGAGGGCAAGGGTCCTATATAATACTTAAAATGGAGTACAATTCTATACTATAACCTAAGAAATACTCTTTTAAGGAGAACCCTTCTATCTTCAAGTCCTACTTCTCTCTATTAATCCAGAGGTACTGCCTGCTATATCAAAAACCCTACAAACTCTTTTAGCCCAAATAACCCTGGTTTCAAAGTAAACTGTATGGCACATTGTGTTCATTCTTCATTTCAGACTTTTTAAGAAGCAACAGAAACTTTGCACTTGCCTATTCTCCCCAGTATATCCAGTCAGTTACCTCTGGGGTGCATCAGCTCATCCCTCGTGTATCCAGGCTGTCAGAAAGTGATCATTAATTATAGGGGCTCCTTTCCAGCCTCTTGGGTTCCTTACCCCTCTTGATTATATAGGGCAACCTGGCCCATTCTACAGAGCTTCTTCCTGCCATCATATTATTGACCCTTAGTTATGAAAGCTTTTTCCTGGAAAACTGTGTCAAAGGTTAATGTGACTTTTTTCCTCCTCAGATTTATTTTACTGGAAACAAACTCCCCAGAATGCTATGTAGATAGTTATTTATCTTTATAACTTGAAAAGGCCATGTTCATACTAGGGGCTCTGGGTGAATCTTACCATTGTTATTTTTCCTCTGTCACCTCCCACCAGTCTCATCAGCTAAAAAGACCCAAAGCACACTGAAAGAGAGTAGGTTAATGGAATGCGGGGCTTGGCCTTCTGAAGGGCATGGATTCCCTCCACCCTCCAACGGTTTGTCATTGGACACTGGAAAAAACAAGGACATTGATGGCTCTCTAGGGCTTTTCCATCTTGAATTTGAATGAGCCTGCCCTAGGGTGAATCAATAGTGATCTTTGCTTTATGTTTTTCATCCACACTACTATGCTGCTGAGAGCAACATCTCTATTAAAACATGGGCTGGAGGGCAGTTTTATAGTATTGGAAAGGCAGCCACATTTTCTTTCCAGTTTAATATTAACTTGGAATTTTAGCTTAGTACTTTCTCTGAGGCTTGAAGTATTGGGGGATAATGGGTGGTCCACCCTACTATTTCAGAAACCAGATTGTAGCTTCTCCAGGGATGCCTCCTTCATCTGAAAGGACAAAAATGTAAACATTTCAGTTATGTCCTGAACATGGGAGAGCGTTAAGGCTGGATGGACAGCAAAGACTAGGCCAGCCCTGGAGCCTAGTTCAAAGGCTACATATTCTAAGAAGATTTAATGGTTCTCTCTTTTGTGTTTTCAGGTCACTTTAAAAAAAATGAAAATGTTACTTTATTTTTAATTACTCAATTAATACAGGAATGCATTCTTATTTTAAAGAATTCAAATGATGCCGAAAAAAATACCCATTTACTTACCTTCTTGCCCAGCAGTCCAAATCCCCTCTCCAGAGGTAATCCTATATAATGAAGAAGTAATATGCAAATTGACCATCACTCCAGCACACAAGACGGCCATCCCCATGTGGTCAAAGATGGCCACCCCCATGTGGACACAAGATGGCCACCACAAGATGGCCTGCAGGGGAGGGCAGTTGTGGGAGAACAGGCCTGCAGGGGAAGGCAGTTGGGGGGGACCCAGGCCTGCAGGGGAAGGCAGTTGGGGGGGGGGCAAGGGCTGCAGGGGAGGACACTTGAGGGGAACCAGGTCTGCAGGGGAGAGCAGTTGGGGGGACCAGCCCTGAAGGGGAAGGCAGTTGTGGGCGACCAGCCCTACAGGGAGGGCAGTTGGGGGAGACCAGGCCTGCATGGGAGGGCAGTTAGGGGGGGACCAGTCCTGCAGGGGATTGTAGTTAGGGGCAATCGGGCTGGCAGGGGAACAGTTAGGCATCAATCAGGCTGGCAGGGGCATAGTTAGGGGCAATCAGGCAGGCAGGCAGGCGAACAGTTGGGAGCCAGCTGTCCTGTGAGAGGGATGTCCGACTGCCCGTTTTGGTGGGATCAGGCCTGAACAGGCAGTTGGACACCCATCAAGGGGTCCCAGATTTGAGAGGGTGCAGGCTGGGCTGAGGGACACACACCCTCTCTCCCCCCACCCCCTGCACGAATTTCATGTACCAGGCCTCTAGTACCTGTTATAAACTTGATGTATCTCCTTTCAGACTTCTTATATGCACATGAAATCATATATATATATATATATATATATATATATATATATATACACACACACACACATTGAAAACATGTCATTTTTACAGTTATAAATAGTATCATGCTGTATATGTCATTCTGCAACATTTTTCCCTTTGCAACATTTTTCCCTTCTAGATCAGTGTTTCTCAAATGTTAGTGTGCATCAGAAACACCTGGGGGCCTGGCTGGTGTCACTCAGTGGTTGAGCATCGATGTAAGAACCAGGAGGTCATGATTCGATTCCCAGTCAGTGCACATGCCCGAGTTGCAGGCTTAGTCCCCAGTAGGGGCTGTGCAGGAGGCAGCTGATCAATTATTCTCTCTCATCATTGATGTTTCTATCTCCCTTCGTCTCTAAAATCAATAATAAAAATACAGTTTTTTAAAAAGTAACACTGGGGGAGGGGCTTGTTAAAACACAGATTTCTGACTTCCACCTCCAGAGTTTCTGGGGTGAATCCTAAATATTTGCATTTCTATAAAGCCCTCAGTTAAGCTGAAACTGCTGGTCCAGGGACCACACTTTAAGAACACTTAATGCCTTAAGCAGTATGTCTAGAGATATTTCCATGAATACACTTCATTCTTTGCTTTTTAAAAAAGATGTTTTTATTAAATTTTAGAGAGAGAGGAAGAGGAAGGGATAGAGATATAGAAACATCAATGTGAGAGTATCATCGATTGGCTGACTCCTGCACACAACCCGGGCATGTGTCCTGACCAGAATCAAATTGGTGACCTGTTGGTTCCTGGGTTGACACTCAACCACTGAGCCACACCAGCTTGGCTACACTTCATTTTTGCAACTGCTGCATAGCATTCCACAAAAACATGTTGTACATACTTGCTCCCCTTTCCACCACCCACTCTCTGTCCATCTGCCTTGAAAAAAAAAAGTGGCTATATAAGGGCAAAATAAATGGATTCTCTCTATGCTCAGATGCTAATAATTTGCTGGTTTCATGTTACCAGGTATAGACATCACTTATCTTGCCCTTTCGTAAGATGGAATGGTACTGGGAAAGGACACCCATTTTACACTTTGTGTTTAGCACTTTCATTTGAAAATCATAAAACATTCTTATTCCTTTGGTCCTTATCTCTTCTGCCTGAGGCCTGATAGTTTGCTATCAGACAAACATTTACTACAGTCATATGCAGATAACTGACTATCTCCAGTGGACTTGCAATATGTTTCTCAGTCCCATTTCTTTACTAAGGCATGAATTACAACTCTCTGCTCATTGAATGATTAACTGAAATTACTTATTCATATTATTACCTACTATTAGAATTACACTATACTAGAACTTGAGAGCTAAAAAATTTTAAGCTGAGCTTTCTGTTCTCAAGGGGTATAGATGTTAGGCGGAAAGATTACACATTTACATATGAAACATTCAAGCAATACATGATGTATGATTAGGTGCTAATATGTATAGTATAAATCTGTGTTGTTCAATACTAGCCACTTGTGGCTATCAAGCAACTGAAATATGACAAGTCAGAATTGAGGTATGCTATACATGTAAAATATATATGAAATTTCAAAACCTTAGGACAAAGAAAAGTATGTAAAATATCTCATTAACAATGTTTATATTGACTATATGTTAAATTATAATATTTTTAGTATATTTGATTAAATAAAATAGTTATAAATTTATTTTATCTTTTTTAAATGTGACCACTAGAAAAATTAAAATTATATATATGTAGGGCTCACATTGTCTTTCTATTGAACAGAGTTGCTATAGATAATTAAGTGTTGTGAGAATTAAAAAAAAAAGACTAATAAGCTGGAGTTGTCACAGAGGAATGAGACTCTGTTACAAATGATGAAAACTCAACACAGACATCTTAATTAAATATATACACCACACACACAAATTTTGGGTGATACTTTATTGGCTCAATTAAGAAGTCTACAAAATATATTTGGGACTGCCTTAGACCATCTCATCCACCATATGAAGACAACATAGTCAAGATAGGCAAAATTCTGATGATGCTATTTTAGCCCCAGACTCACAATGCCCTAGGTAAGTAACATAATCAGGAAAGAACATCTTTTCTTCTAGCTTCTACCAGAGCCCTGTGATTTCTAGGCAAAACCAGTCAGGAGGAGTTTAAATTGAAATAGCAAGAGATCTTATCTCTAAGGAATATTAAAAGTTTCCCCTCTAGTTTGCCTCTTTTTTAAAAAAAAAATATGGAACACTTCACAAATTTGCACGTCATCCTTGCTCAGGAGCCATACTAATCTCTGTATTGTTCCAATTTTAGTATATGTGCTGCCAAAGTGAGCACTAGTTTGCCTCTTTTTAAAAATAAAAGATTGATATCACTACATACCCATCAGAATGACTAACTAAAAAGTATTGACACCACCAAATTCTGGTGAGGATGTAAAGAAACTCATTTATTTCCAACTACTCTGGAAAATGTTTTGGCATTTTCTTTAAAAAAAAAAATTAAACATGCCACTACTAAATTGCTCAGCAATTGTACTTATGGGCACTTGTCCCATATAAATGAAAATTTATGTTCACACACAAACCTGTGCACGAATGTCCATCAGCTTTTTTTTTTTTTTTACAATGGCCAAGAATTGGAAACTCAAATGTCCTTCAACAGATGAATGGTTAAATAAACTGTGCTATGTACATAGCATGGAATACTACTCAACAATAAAAAGAAACAAACTATTGGTACATGCAGTAACTTGAATGAGTATCTAGGGAAATTATGCTGAGTGAAAAAAAGCCAATCACAAAAATTTGCACACTGCATGATTTCATTCATATAATATTATTGAAACAACAAACTTATAAGAGTGGAGGAGAGGTTAATGGTTGCCAGAGGTCAGGGATGAGGATATGGTGGGAAGTGGAGGTGAACTTGGTTATAACCTGCAACATGAGGGATCTCTGTGGTGTTGGAACTGACCAGTATCTTGATTATAGTAGTGGACACATGAACCTACTCAAGTGATAAAATTGTAATGCACACACACACACACACACACACACACACACACACACACACACACAATGAGTACCAGCAAAATTAGGAAAATCTGAGTAAGGTTGCAGGTTATATCAATGTCAACATCCTGGTTGTGATATACTAAAATTTATTTGGAGTGCATATTCAATGAAACAGAAAAGTATACAAGGACTCTCTCTGTATTATTTCTTACAACTGCATGTTGAATCTACAATTCTGAATAAAAATTTCAATGAAAAAGAAGTCAGAGAACCTGACCTGTGTGGCTCAGTGGTTGAGCATCAACCTATGAACCAGGAGGTCATGATTCAATTCCTGGTCAGGGCACATGTCCGGGTTGTGGGCTCGATCCTCAGTGGGGGTGGGGGCGTACAAGAAGCAGCCTATCAATAGTTTTCTCTCATCATTGATGTTTCTATCTCTCGCTCCCTCTCCCTTACGCTCTGAAATCAAGAAAATTATATTTTAAAAAAGAAGTCAGAGAAAAGCTTTAAAAAATTGAGACCTAAAAAGATCCTCAACCCCAGAGTGCTCCAATGTGAGTAAAGCTTTTAATCTATTTGCTTCTGCCAGATGTCACAACCTTTAGCACTGAACTTTTTCTCCATTAATGTCTCCATTTAAATGCCTATACTTTTTCACTTGCCCCCAAGTTGCTACTGTGTGTTGTGAGCATCACACACAGTGTTTCTTGGTAATCTTCTCCTGTCTCATCTCATACATGTCTTCTCACATATAGTATTCTTACTGGTAAACCATTTGTGTTTTTATAAATCTGGTGACTTTTATTTTTTTAAATATGCTTTTTATTGATTTTGGAGAGAGAAAAGGGGAGAAGGATAGGGAGATAGAAACATCCATGAAAGAGAAAATCATTGATCAGCTGCCTCCTGCACGCCCCTTACTGGGGATCAAGCCCACAGTCCGGGCATGTGCCTGACTGGGAATCTAACCTGGGATCTCTTGGCTCATAGGCTGATGCTCAACCACTGAGCCACACCAGCCAGACAAATCTGATGACTTTTGAAAGCAACAACAATGTCAAAGACACTGGCTCAGGGCATTGCACTGCCAGTCTATCTTGATCTGATCTGGCAGCCTCATTTAGTCTTGAGGCCAGTCCTTTAAGCCATTTCATTTTCCTTCATCTTATCTGTAGGAAGATAGTCTAGAAAAGTCTTATATTTTAGTCATTTTAGAGTGTGCTGGTTAAGAACAAGAGCTTTGGAATTAGGCAGACCTAAGTTTGAACCGAGGGTTTGCTACTTACTAGCTGTAACCTGAGGCTACTGAGTCTATATCCTCCTCTGTAAAATGAGGATAATATCTACATCATTAGGCTCTTGTAAGGATGAAATGAGATAATGTATGTCAAATACCTAGCATACAGTAGATTATCATTTGTCATTCTTCCATTATTCTTGCTCTTTCTACCCGTAGACCTCACAGCATTCCAGCTTTTCACCAGCAGGCTTTTTGGGGGGTACCCAAAGCCAGGATACATTTTTCTAGTATTTTGCCTCCCAATATTTTACATGCTTTCGCTACCTCATGCCTTTATAAAGCTAAAACAGATAACTGGGCATCATAGTGGAAGAATGTGGCTACTGATCAGGGATAGCAGAAGGTTCATTCTCTCCTTTGTTTGAGTCATAATCCTAGACAGTCCTTCAGTCTTTTCTTGCCTACTCAGACCTTGAGTGGGCTTAGCAATGTCCCATCTAGGCCATCATATGTATGCGGTAAACATCAATGAACTGGTAGGCTTATCCTTTTCCCCAGTCCAACCATATCCCTCAGGCCCTAGAGCTCAATTGATCTCTCCTGCATTAATCAGAAATATAGTTGCTTTACTCAGATAATTCTGAACAAGGTGGTGGTATAATTTTTCCCAATCCTAAGGGAGAATCTTTCAAAGCCAGTTGGAGAAAGCAAACAATACTAACAACATTATCACAAGTCAGTCTTTCCACATGAAAGGTAACATACACTAGGGCAGTGGTTCTCAAAGTGTGCTCTCTGGACCAGCAGCATTAGCATCACCTGGGAATTTATTAGAGGTGCAAAATCTTGGGTCACATTGCAGAACTTCTGAATCAGGATCTCTGGGGGTGAGGCCTAGCAATCTTTCTATTAACCTCTCCATGTGACTCAGATAAACACTAAAGTCTGAGAGCCACTGGTGTAGTGGTTAGAAGCACAGACTCAGAAGTCACATTGCTTGGCTTTAGCTCCATTACTAGTTGTGTGACTTTGGGGAAGTTATTTATACTCCCATACCTCAGTTTTCTTATCTGTAAAATGGGAATAATAGTTCTCTTCTTGAAACTCCCACATTTTTCCCTCTTGCCTTTAGCAACACTACATTTTCCTGTTTTAACTTATTCCTCACTGGCCCCTCAGCCTCTTTTCCTGATTCCTTGTCCTTTGCTTGATCTCTAAATGTTGGAGGCCCCAGGGCTCAATCCAGGAACCGCTTCCTCTTTTTTATTCTATTCTCTCTCTAGATAATGTCATACAATCCCAAGGCTTTAAATATTATCTATGTGCTGTTGTCTCCCAAATTAATTTATATTGACATCACCCAGAACTTGAGACAGGTACATATGACTATTGACACCTCAATTTGGAATTTTATTTTATTAGGCGTCTGGACCTTCACATATTCAAAACTGAACTTTTGATACCTGATCAATCCCTTATTCTTTTTTTTTATTTGCCACAAGTGTTTATTGATTTTAAAAAGTCTGCATCATTTCCCCTGTCATATATAATTTTAATGTAGTCAAATCTGCTATCTTATTTGCAATTACTTTTGCAGTTTCTAAGTATAGCAAGTCTTGTATTCTCCATATTAGAAAATAAATATTTGAGTGTATGTAAAATAAAAAAGCATGGTTCAGTATGTACTGAACAGTATATTAACATTGGTGTAAACTTTTTTTGGTCTAAAGTTTTACATATGTCTTCTTTTTACCCAATTGACCGCCCCACCCCCGCCATCCATTCCCACCCCAGGCAAGCCCCCACCACCCAGTGTCTGTGTCCATTGGTTATGCTAATATGCAATTCCCTTATTCTTTTTTAAAAAAATATAATTTATTGATTTTTCACAGAAAGGAAGGGAAAGGGATAGAGAGTTAGAAACATCGATGAGAGAGAAACACCGATCAGCTGCCTCCTGCATGCCTCCTACTGGGGATGTGCCCGCAACCAAAGTACGTGCCCTTGACTGAATCGAACCTGGGATCTTTCAGTCTGCAGGCTGACGCTCTATCCACTGAGCCAAACCAATTAGGGCAATTCCCTTATTCTTGAGTCTTCCACAGTTTAGTAAAGGATCCCAGCATTTACCCAAGTCAAAAATCCTGGATATAATGTACAGGTTTGGGTTTATGGCAGGTCCATCCCCCTTGGTCTCTCATAGTGACCCATGCCAGAGCAAACTGTGGACTTGAACTATTGCCTGGCCTCTCTGTCCATTGACTGCAGGCATTGAAGTGGATTGCACAGTGGGGGAAAAAAGAGAAGAAACCTGGAAATTCCTGAGTCTTCTCTTTCCTTTTACACCAAACCATCCAGACCATCACCAAAACCTATGTCTCTAACTCCAAAAATTCATACAGAATTGTCCTTTTCTCTGCTCCCCACTACCTTACTTTTAGCCACCACCATCTCTTATGTTGTTTACTTGCAGTAGTCCCCTATTCGTTTTTCTGCTTCCATTCTCACTCCATTTGGTCTATTTTCCAAAGTGTCAGAGAGATCTTTAAAAATGTGAACCTAATCACCTCACTTTTCTGCTTTAGACCTTCCAATATCTTCTCTGAACAATTATTCAAAACAAGAATGAAATCTAAGGCCCTGACCCAGGACCATAAGGCCTCCATGATCTAAACCCTGCCTGCTTCTACAACCTACTCTCATATGACTCTCCCCATTGTTCCTGACACTCCTGTCACAGCATCTTTCTCTGTATTTTTCCAACATGTCAAGCTCCTTCCTGTCATCAGGTTCCCACGCTCACTGTTCCCTCTGCTTGGAACATTTCTCCCCCAGGTCTGCAAATGGCTGGCTTTTTATGATTTGGATCTTGGCTCAAATGTCATCTCCTCAGAGAGTCATTCCCTTACTAACCAGTCAAAAGTAGACCCTCCATCTCAATCACATCACCCTGTTTTTATTTTGTTCATAGCACTTATCAAAGCATCTGTCATTATTTGTTTGTGTGTTTGTTTCTCTGCACTGAAATATAAGCTCTATGAGAGCAAGGACCTGTCTATACTGTTCACTGTTGTATT